ACCTCCCAGCCACGATGAGGTGCTAAACCGTTGGGAGGTAATATACTTTTTATATAATTTAACTCTTCAACGAAACGATGTGGTAACAAGACAGCGTAGTCATCATAACTACTGTATCCTGAAGAACATTCTAAGAAATTCTTGGGATGATAAGCGGAAAGTTCGATGTTTCTGGTTATTCGTTCGTGAGAAGCTGTCATTTTCATACATCATGCAGTCTTCATCTTTTAAGTCATCTAGCAATTTCCATGTCTGGTTAGTGGTACTAATTTGACTTGCGTAGTCAAGAAATCTGAAGAGGACATAGCTTGTAGCCTTTAAGACAGTTCAGTTAAAATTTTCCTCATATTTTTCCACTTCTTTCTACGCTTAAAGGGATTACACGAGATAATAGCTAGCTTTGAAGGCTTACACAAGAGTTAAAATAAAAAAAACAATAAAGCTTTCGGCGTTGATCAATTCCTGAGGGATATGTCATGCATTCGACTTCCTCAACCATAGTCAGAGGCAATGAAATGCGTATCTGGCCTGTACAGTGACTCGCGTTGGTCTACCTATGTATCGAGCTTGTGTTACCGTACTCCCAGACAAATCTGGTAATAATTTACCGACCTCCGGAGGGATGGAGGGCTTGGTAGGCGTAGGGCGTGGAATCGATCTCATGTGTATTGCAGGGCGCCTTCAACCACTGCGCTAAACGCGCCTTTCACAGGAGTTGTTGATTCGTTATAGCGATTAGAATTGAAGTGGCAGTCAGTCACCTCTCAAATATCCACCAAATGGATGTGTTCTAGAAAAGCATTTCATATTTTTCTGAGTGCACACAATAGAGCATTTCTCGGGCAACATTGACCACAGCACCCGTGTTGGATAAGGTATCGATCAATTATAAGACGTGCAGGCAAACGGTTGTTTGCGCCCAAATTAACCACCCGGAAGAAAATGACCCCCATAGAGGTCATACTGACCACTCTAGCCATATGGCATTATATAGGACGCACATCGTCTCTTGCGTATGTCGCGCATTCGCTAGGGACTAAGTAATCATCGGTTTCTGTTTATTCTTCGTTTTGTAATCTTTCATCTTCTTAACTGCACAATTGATCATGATTTCAGTGTTTTATAATATAAGTGTCTATTTTACACCATAAACGGATTCGTCTTGTTTTCCTTTCCACTTCAACTTTTCCATTTCTTTATCGAATGAACATGAAATTCATTGCTTACTTAATTGGTACTTAAATGGCCCGTCCTCACTGGTTGTGCGGGTCTCAGCATAATCTTCATTTTTTTGAAGATTTGCTAGCTAAACCATAGTGGTTCCTTGGAGTCCCGAAATCAGCCTGGCCAAAGTCTGCCCCAGGTCTTCACCACCATAGGCAGTCGCCGCCCTTGTGGACCAGAGGGAGATTTACCACCATGCGACTTTGATACCGGGATGATGGTGGATCCTAGTATTCGTTTACTCTTAGCTAGGTTTTTTGATGGAAACACCGAACTCCTTCTCAGCTTGGGAGACCCTGCAGGGGATGAATCCCCGGCTGTATCGCAGTCCGACACCCAGGAACACCTCCCAGCCACGACGAGGCGGTAAACCGTTGGTAAGAAAATCCATTAAGCGCCTAACAACTACACCTTACTTGACAAACTTCACCAAGCTGGCATCAGAATTAGCTCTCTCACTTTTTTTGGGGGCTAATTGCCATGTAAGGTGACTACGATAAACACTGACAGCTGTACAATACAACGCTAGCTGACGTTTCGGCAGTATCGCCTTCTTCAGAGCCGCTTTTTCGTGACTTCCAATGAGGATGTTTAGAACAGCTGATTATAGTCGCATGTGGTTGACGACTGCACCATCCCACATCAAAAATCGATGCATCGATCGTGTTCTTCTATGGAAGTAAATGTATGCTGTTTAAAAACCTCGCGATTGCTGAACAAGAAAACGACACATTCGTATTCCAATGCCGAGGTTAATAGAAAGTCGATCCTGGGGAACTGACAGCTGTTTTCACTCGAAAGGAAGATTCTCTGTGAAGTTCGAATTACAGTAATGCTTCAGCAGTGTTGAGCCTTTTCCTTGTGATCAGTCGTTTTTACTATCTCTGGCTCTGCCAATCTTCTTCATAAAGGCACACTTCGATGCACTAGTTCACCGTTATCGATCAATAGGTACTTCGATGTATTAGCTCACCATTATCGATCAATAAGTAAGGTATCGGTTGACAGCTGTACAAATTACACAAAATACGACTTTTCACTCTACCTTTCGAAAGGAAAGTATTGAAATAATAGATTTTTTAAAGTTAATCACAATAAGAAAAAGTCACTGATCGAGAAATCCACTAGTGAAATTAAATGTCACTAAAATAATCTGTGAGTTACACTGCTTGATATTCCATCTCATATAAAAGGATAAAAAGGATAAAGCTCTCGGCATTGATCAATCCCTAAGGGATGCGCCGTGCACTCGACTTCATTAACCATCGTTTGGAGGTGATTGAATGCATATCTGGCCTTTACAATGAATCACGGTAACCCACCGATGTATCGAGTCAGTATTACCATCCTCCCAGATAAGTCTGGTACAAGGTTGTCGACTCCAGAGGGATGGAAAGCTTGGTGGGCCATGGGAGCGGGAATCGATTCCACGTGTGTTACAGGTGTTGCAGGCACCTCCGACCACTGCGCCATACGCGCCCCTCCATCTCATATAGTAAGAATTAAACACTTTCAAAAGTTGCCATAAGCTGTTAGGATGAATGGCCACAGGACACTACAGATTTCACTGAAATATCAACGAACCAAGTCTGAAAGCAATGAATGATCTAGGAAGAGAAACGTTATTGCTTCCCATTAGAGGCTGTCACGTTGAAATCCACGTTTCGCGTCGTCCCAGTTCTGAATTGTTGCAGCCGTATAAACGGCAACGGAAACACCCTTTTTTACGTTGATCACTTTTTCTGTAGGTATTTTCTTATACCTTCCAACGGTTTACCTCCTTGCTGGGAGTTCCTGGATATCAGACTGCGATCTACAAAGGGGATTCATCCACGCGGCAGAGTCTCCAAAACTGAGGAGTCCGGCGTTTCCATCAGGATGCCCAGCTAAGAGTAAACCAATACTAGGTCCACCATAAAGCTAGTCACATCGGCGACTGCCTGTGTTGGTGACGACTTGAGGCGGCCCTTGGATTGGCTGACCTCGTGACTCCACGGAATCGCAATGGCTAAACCAGCAAAATGGAGATTATGCTGGCACCCCCACAACTGGTGAGGATGGGCCATTCAAGTGTCATGTAAGTAAGTTTTCTTATAGAGATACTGCAATCATTTGCAAATGAATTTGTTCATATATGATTGTGTGTGTATTATGTGTGGTGTGTATATGTGCATGTGTATGTGTATGTGTGTGTATGTGCATATGTGTATGTGTATATGTGTACGTGTGTATGTGTATGTATTTGTATGTGTATATGTATGTGTATATCTCCGTTGTGGAAGGGGGTTTGTATGTATGCAATGCCTGCTTTAACGCTGTGCTTGCACTCCATGGCTAAGCCGCCACAGGTCCTGTTTCTTATCGGTGAACTCACCGTTAAGCACCACCAGATGTTTATCTCTGGACGTTAACACTGTTTGTATTTCTCATATAGCCTAACACAATGCGTACAAACAGAGCGGCATCCAGCTCAGATCGTAGAACTCACGTAGGCGTTTTCTCCTCGGGACCTAATAGTCGACTAACGTTATTTACAATACACTATTCATTGTAAATAACATTAGGTGATCAATATTTACCCAGTAAAATATGACCAATGCTTCCAGTTTTTCACATATTTGTAGGGAGACTGTATAGGAATAAGCTTCAGCTCGGTTAATGTTTAGTGAAACTGTTCTACGAAACCATTTCTTCGGAGGCTTCGCGTGTTTTTTTTAATTACTGAGGTAATTGATAACAGCAGCTCTTCAGATGATCGTAAGGGGTGTTTTGCTTTATTCATGGGCTTCAGGAAGCCAGAATGTTGTCACTGCAGAATATAAAATACGGTGGTACTCTTGTGTTGGCAAGGATCTATAGGTGCTAAGAAATTTTATATCAAACAATGATGTCCACTGTGAGTTGAGACGTCTTTTGCTCAATATTGAGTGGCACAACTAATTTCGAATAAGCATGTCTTGAAGTCAATGCATGTCGTCCATTACGAATCTGTCGAAGTCACCAAACGTGATAATAACCATTTTAATGATAAGAACTTGATTTCCGGCCGATATATCGTAAATATTAATTACTTACGGTGCCTTTTAAAATGTCTTTTTTCTTGTTTCGTAGCGATCTCAAATGTCAATGCCCTTCAAAGTTTGCTGGAAGGAGAAGCCTTAACGTGATTTACGGACAGCGTTGCTCCCACGACTGTTGATCTACATTTTGGTTTCTTCGGAACCTGATTTCGCTGAACCCCTGACGTTTTCATTTTGTTATCCACTCTCGTTTTCTCACTGCTTCTCCCATTCATTTTTCTCTTCCTGTTTTTCCTGACCTCGGTTTTTCTCTTTTCCATGTTTTTGAAAAACTTTTTTTCTCTCAATCATCCCTTCTTACAACTACGTTATTTCCTTCTCCACTGTTGAATCAATTTCCAATCCATTTTTCCTCTCTGTACCAGCGGTAAGTCCTTCGTTGTTTATTCTTCCGTTCTTCTTTCTTTTTGTCCGTATTCACACACATTCGTACTCTACAGTTTCTCTTTTTCGTCTTTACCCTCTAACGCAACCTTTTTATTAGCTTCTACCACAAAGGAGATAGTGACTAGTGCTCTGCATAATTGCATCCTCATTAGTCGTATTCTCTTCTCCCTCATTGTAGTATTATCTATGATTTTCATATCACTCAGAAGCTACTCTTTTTGTGAGTTCAACAACACCGCAGAGAAACCTGACGTTCAGGCAGATGTCCTGGTTAGAGTTGTGTTTTTATTCAGAACTTGAGTACTTTAGGAACGCCGAGATTTTTCGTCTGACTATCGCACGAAAGTGTACGAAGACGACGACGACGAAGTCGAAGAAGAATACATTGAGGAGGAAAAGCGCACATTCACTGAACGCATTGTGACCAAGCGACACAATTACGGTTCCGATAGCTACGATTCTGTAAAACGAGGTATTTTAGGAGATTTTTCACAATTATTTTTATGTATAATGTTTCCTTTAACCCATAAAGTCTTGTGTGAACACTACAGTGCATGTATGCCTTTGAACCGAGAGACGGTATGGACAATTACTTACGTACTTGGATACTTAGATAGCCCGTAATCATTGGTTATGCGTGCCCACGCATAATTTCCATCTTTTTGGAGTTTTACTGGTCTAGCCACCGTGGTTCCCCGAAGTGCTGAGGTTAGCCTGGGGAAAATCTGCCTTAGGTCTTTACCACCACAGGCAGTCGTAGTCCTTGTGGATCAGACGGAGATTTGCCACCATGCGACTTCGATACCAGGACGGTGGTGAATCCTGGCTTTGGTTTGCTCTTAGCTATGCTTCCTGATGGAAACACCGAACTCCTCAGCTGGGCAGACCGTGCTGGACGTATGAATTGTCTTGCTGAACATCGCAGCCCGACATCTAGAAGTTCATTGACCGGCATTTTGTGGACTAACGATTGACTGTTATTTCATTACAAGCACTGTAGTCATTGGATGGAATGTGCAGATATAAAAAGCACCGAAATAAAGTCAGCACTGGTGCAAAGCACTTGCAAGTACTGACAGCAATTGGTCTGCATAGTGGACCGTAGTCATAATCAGTATTTAGTAGCATACATTATCATTCATAGCCGTAGAACGAGAGGGCAAATCCTATTCCACGAATCTGTCATGTTCACAATCCTTAACGCCTTCTAATTACTAAAATGTTTTTTTATCGACAAAAAACCAGAAAGTCCGCAGCCGACGAAAAATTGCTCGTATTCCTTCCGGATAGTCTTGGGAAACGGCGAGGTCCGTTGTAGGTTGAATTTATTTATCTTCTATTTGAAAAAGTCTTTTATGTTATTGTCCTCATTCACCACAATCCCTCTAATCTTTTCGCTAACTTTGGAAGAACTAAATCACCTTGAGCTTTACATTGTAACTCTTTTGTTTACTCTTTACTGTCTACTCTTTATTGTATTGTAACACTGTTTGGTACTGAATGTTGTTTTATATCGTTTCAATGTTTCTTTATTTCTCTCGTCTATCTTTTTATACAATCAACACCATATCATGCACTTTGGGGATAGTTCAACAGTTAGCTTTGTCATTGGCAGGTGAATATCCCAGGTGGTGAGGGTTAGCTTTAGCATTGGCAGTTGAATATCCTAGCTTGTGAGTTTTCCAAACTGACATTTTCCATGCAGCTCTTCTAAAGCTGTGATTAGTCGTTAGAAGTGCACAACATAGCTATGAAAATAGCTGTCATATTTGAAAAACTAGTAGTTACTTGTCGATAATATGAGTATACATTCGTAAAGAATGAGTAGTTTAGTGTAGAAATTTTCCACTAGTGCACGAACGGTCAAAGGCTCGGACGTAGCTTCCAAGGCAACTACTCTCCATGGTTACATTGTCAGTCATCTAGTACTGTACTTATTTTAGAATTTGTTGCATTGACCTTTATATTGATTGGTTTTTAGTCAATTTAAAATTTGTTTCGCTGGACAGGGGCATTGTTTTAAGCTTATTTTCTTTTGTTCCCTTTCATAAGTGACTTTAGGAATGGAGGACGTCTGAAGGACATTATTGTCCATAATTGAGCTTACTCATCACCTGGGGCATTGTTTTAATCTTATTTTCTGTGTATGTGCTGTGCTTGTTCTCCTTTCGCTCGTAGCAGAGAAGTTTGTTCAATCTTGCAGAGCCAGACCACCATCGCCAGAAAACACGTCGAGGTGATATGGCGGTCGACTATTCGTCGAAGGATTTCCGCGAATCACTGGCAACTATAGATGCAGCTTCACGTGATAGAATCTCTTCCCGAGAAGGTAATACTCTTCTTGGAGCTTTTTACTATGGAAGGAAGTGTTCTCGTAATACCAAAGAGGTTTAGCTTATACTTTAGTGTTGTTTAATACAAAGAGAACAGGAATTCTTAAATTACTCGAACTAACGTAGGTCAGAAGTGACGTATTTTTCTGATTTGGCACTGTTAGTTCATGGAGGTCTTTCTTAGTATTCTATTTTTGAACTTGCTACTTGAAAATTATGTCTTCTGTAAACCTAGGTGTTCGCGTTCGACAGCATGGTGATACCACAATTATGACTGAGCATCGAGATCCGTACTCCTTCTATTGGCAGCTTGATCAGGTTTCTAAGTTAATTTTACCTTTATTATTGATTCATTTTTCAAAGTTGTCTTTGTTTTATGAAGTTGGTATATAGAACCAACGACGTTCTGAATCGCCGAAGCGTTATCCACCACCAGCCGATTATGTTATCGATGAGGAAGAGGTAAGTCAATCTTGACGTTCTTTGTTGTCTTACTTTTGGTTTTGTTGTGTTGTTGAATTTCTTTCTGTACACAAAGCGGAGAAATGTGTAAGAAGTGCTGCATTTGTATCCAGTTGAGGTTCTTATGACTTGGAAACGTTAAATAAAAACCTGAACCTGCCATAGATTCTTTCGCTTTATAGCCAGGGAGACGTAGCGTGAGGTTGGATCCCATAAAATTACTGTTTTACTGTTTTGAAAAATCTCATTTAATATGAAGACTGTGTTTATATAACAATGCGTTTCCACAGTGTTCTACAGGTTCCAACTCTTATTCAGTTCTTTTCGTTGCCTTCTAGCTGTCATCTATGAAGGTAGACACATCCGTGGGAATGACTGCTTTTTGGAAATAAACCATCATCATTTCTAGCCGATTTTTTTCTAAATGATATGTCGATTGCTGCTGAATCCTAATTTTCTCTGAAGTCCCGTTATAGCTTTGGTAAGCGGTTCTCTAATTTGCATCAGATTCAGTCATCGGCTCTGTCGGGGGAGATTTTCTGCTTGCGACTTTGTTTCGTCCAAGACCATAGCTATTCTTGTTACGACAATGAATCCTTTATTAAGCTAGTGGGCCAGTCGAAGACGATATTATGTGCATTGTTCAATTATTGCTACTACAGTTAATCTCTAGATCACTTTTCAAACCATACTCCTATTATCCTGCTAAGTAATGTAGTATTGTTTGGCTTAAATGAATTCGTTTGCTAAGGAAGTCCCGAAAAAGTTTTTGCCTTTCGGCTTCACTACCTGATAAATTTAGGTTGTCGAAACTGTACTCTCTCCAGAATCCCATGATTCTGGTGTGGCATTGGAAAATCAGTACAGTAAACCATTGCGTGTAAATCCACCGACTTCAGTTTCTCCTCCACATGTCGATGATGAGCTGACCCAGTTGCCTCCTGGATGGGAGAAACATCAAGGTGGTTTTTTTCTCTTTTATCTCTCTCCTATTTTTTCGTACTATGGTAACTCTGTAAAGTCTTTTTATGTTTTCTGAGACGCAGTTAAATTCTTTGACATTTCTTCACAGTAATGTTGGTTCTTGAATAATCCAGTTAACAATGGAGCCTTGCTTTCAACTGTGTAGTTCTGGCTTTAGTTATGTCGTCACGGCATTGGTTTAAGTATCGCTTTTCTAGCAGAGATTATCTTCTTGGTTGATTCTGTTCAGCTAATATCAATGGAAATTTTGAGTTTATACTCTATTCGAAAATGGTCTTTAGGATTTTTTTCAACATGTAAAGTTATGTCTTCGCACATGAAATTTGGCAGTGAATGAGTTGGGAAAAAAGTCGGTAAGCCATCGCTGATTTGCGTCAAATTTGTACTGAAAAATATTTCTTTAATACATTCGCGACTATTCGAGCCATATTTGATTCGAAAGTTGCTGAAAGTAGTTTAGCCTTTCTGTTTTAATCAAGCGTGTTTTATCTCATAGTAAACTTCTTGTTTTAAATGAAAGTTATCAGATATTTCGCAAGTACAATTAATTCATAAGTGTCGGAGCAGTGTTTTTCAAGAAAATAGAGCCCAATGGAAGCTTAAATCTCCAGCAACAAAGGTATTGAACAAGCTGGATTTAGTCCGTTAGTGCTTTATGTCATCTCAGATGGTCGTTAATGCACGCCGCTTCTACTTTTGCGCTAAAAACCTTTGAATTTCTTGTTTCTTTATAGATTTTGAACTTAAGCAAGATCGACCCCTATGACGGGTTGTTGCTGATACCTCTTCAAAAAATCAATGTTGCATAGAAATCATATATGCCACTAAAGTCTTCTGTCGTTTATGGAAGGCTCAGGCTCACAAGTACACAAATTATCAAAAACATTCTATATGTCACTGTTAAAAACAATAACGCGTTCATCAATCGGTGGCTAATAAGGTGTCTGTCCATGGAATCATTGCAAATACTTCTTGAAGAGCCAGCGTCGTCAAGCATGTTAATTTCTCTCGTTTAGATCCGTCTGGATTCTCTTATTACTGGCATGTGGACAGCGGGACAATTCAGCGTGAACCACCAGTTCGTTCATACAGTATTCTTTTTACTGTACATAAATGCTAACAATTTAGTTAAACTATCTATTCATAACAAGTTTTCTTTTTTTCTTTTTGAAAATCCTACGTGGAGTATGTTCTTAGCTACTCTGCGGTTTTCATGTTATGGGCTACTTTTGCTTTTGTCTTTCAACTCTTTTGATTCTTTCATCACCAGTGAACTTAGGCACTTATTTAAACTTGCTATAGTAGCGTTTTCTTGTCGTATGAATGCTATCTGTCACTTACTGCAAAAACTTGATAACTTGCGTCATAACCAAATTTTAGCGCTGCAGGGTATTTGATGCCTAATAGACAAAGACGCCACCTATATACTTAATCTGGTGAGTAGGTAAACTCCTATGAAAAGGCTTGTTAGGGACATTTTTTCATTTGAAATCGTGTTAACTTTTCTGCTAGTTTCCCTGATTCGACTTGAAAAAGCTTAGGGAAGTAATGGTGCTTCAAAAATAGAAGTGTAAGACGACGTAGCTTTAGGAAATTACAGGTGAATTATGTATACAATGCGTTTGCAGAAAAATTAACAAAGCTTTCGTATCGCGTGCCGTCATCCTCTTATATTCGTCGATGAGGAACGAAAAGATTAAGAACTTTTCGTATTGATTTCACTGATGCTTAATCTGACCTACTCATAATCTGACATAAAGTTCTTTTAACGAATTCATGAATATTAGAATATCTTTTGAATAAAGCTAAGCCTTTTGACTGTGAATGAGATTCTGTTTAGGTTTTTTATAATAGTTCACTTATGTGAAAAGCGATTATTAATAGGCGTTAGGTGGGACTTCTTTAAAGTGTCTTTCTTTTGTAGCGCGCTCTGACACCACCACGCGGTCCATCACCACCTCCACCTGTATACTCTAGGACAACTCATGTGAGTACAGAAAATTTCATAGCCTTCGCTTTATCTCCTTTCATGAAGATGCTTTAAAGCTTTTAGATTTGTTAGTAAACAGGAAACTAGTTTGCAATGTTTTTTCATTTCTTTCTTGGAATGATGGTCAAGTGCAAATAATGGATGATGCGATGCGTATACCTTACCTTTTCATTCTCAGAGTTGTAAGCATTCAGTGCTTTTATTTCAGAGCCGTGAGACACAGGTGGACGCGTCACCTCCGCGGGTAATATTTCTGTTTCTTTATTTCACTCTCCATAGACTTTAGGATGTACAACTTTGTATCGATTTTTATTCTTTTCATAAAACATTTTTAGGTGTAACAGATCATTCGTCTTCAACTTTGTAGTAAGGTTTAACTAATGATGATAGCAAAGCCTAAAAGGGATTAGTTTCGTTGTCGGTCATGGCCACAGGTGTCGTCTTATCTGAAATCATGCACCTTATTGTTGTATATTCATAATTAATGTCCATATACTACTTCACCTTTAAGCCTTTCAAACAGCCTTGAAGCTTGAGTGCTGAGGAGTTCAGGTAGCAATAGTATTTGAGTGCTGAAGCAATCCACGCTACTTGGTTGATTCTTAGCTGCTGTCTTATTTGAATGTATTATAGTCTGTATTGATATTGGAAATGCTAGAGGAGAGAAATTATCACAGCCTTTCACCAGCGGACGAACATTGTGATAACATAATGTGCGATCGCTTTTCCTTTTTTGTCTATGGGAACCTCTGCAGTTCATCTTTTTCCCTCCTTAGCTTCTTTTGATTTTATTTATTTGAATAAGCACTTTAGGTTATACAACTCCCTCCGCACCAGCCAGTCGTTGAAGAGCATGCGTTCAAGCAAACGACGACTAAACGTCGCATCGAGACCACTCAAGAAAGTGAACCTGAAGAGGAGCTTGGATATCGAAAGGTAGTTAAAATATAAGGAATTTAATATTCTTTGAGAAGTTTGGGTGTGAGTTTACGACAATACGTGGCATTCAAAAAAGTTTACAAGATGACGATTTTGTTCATATCCGTGGACGAGTGCTAAAGTAGTGTTCGAAGTCTTTATCTTGTGATGAAGACATTTGGGACGAATTGACCTCTATAGGATCGTACGATGCGAAAATAATGGATGTGTCTAGATTTAACCAACATATTTCAGCTTACAATGAGCTCTATTAGTTTAAATAAAGAAGTACCAGAGTCTATAGCTCTCTGCCTACAGGACGGAAGTTATCTTCCTTTACTGTGATGAGATTGTGATTCCCTGGATCTCAAAAAGCCTATTATTCCGTTTCTCTCCGTTGGAACTCGTATTTCAGGCACAAAAGAAATTGAAGAAGAGGGACTTTGTCCAGAATGACACAATGCTGTTCCATAGTGCATTTTTTGTGTTTACAAATGACGCTGTTACGTTGTAATCTTTAAAAATTTAAATTTACTTATCGCTTTTTTTCAATTTCAAATGTATTCATACCTTACTGGACTCAGTATAAAGACTATATTTATACGATTAGTGCTATAAGCCGAAGTATTTTATAAATCTACAAAGTTCTGAACTCATGGAAGGCTCCAGCGATAGAAAAGTTTTCATTTGTTGGCGAAGAGCCAGTTTCGTCTAAATGCGCTAATTGGAAAATAAAAGGTTGCTCAGTTTACTATTGTCATTGACTGGTGAATGGGTGGTTTCTCGGCAAGGCGGTAAAAAAAAGTCAGACATGGATTCATTGGGCTACAAGTAGTCGTTGTTCGTATTTAACAATCGAGAGTACGTTGCAAATAGCACAAGGGTCACTTAACGTTTCAAGCGATGCGTCCTTGTGCAGCGCACTGAGTAATGATGCCGTCGATCAGGGCGCAAAGGCATTAATTTGACCACCTCCCAAACGCTCTCCTCCAGTCTATATGGGAACGCCTTAGCTTGGCTATCTCGAAAATTGCTAAGAGATTTGACTCGACCAGCATTTTACGACATATGCAAAGAAGACGAATTCGTCGAGCAGCTGCCGAAACAGCATGCGAAATATTTGGAGATCTTTGTGGATGACGATGAATTCGACGGTAACGAATCGAATGCGAGAAATTCTGGGATCCGCACAGTAGATGTAATGACTATTCACGTGAAAAGGAAATGGTGCGTCCTACTGGCAGTAACCATAAGTGCTGGAATCTGTAGGACCATAGCCAGAATGGTTCATTTGGACCAGAACGATAACTTCGGCCCTATTTGTAACGTTTGGCTAATTTATAATTTTTTTTTTTGCCATGCTGAAAAGTGTTGATAACTTTTGAACGTTGTGGCTCAAGTGGTGTACGGTATCTCTGTGGTAATCATATGAATCCACCGTAGCGCGTTAGTTATTTTCTGTCATTATTTTCTTCAACGTCTTTATCGCCCAAATGGCTCATCCATCGCTCTGGGTGGCTGTCATTTGGCGTGGCTGTGGTTCGCTTTGTTATTCTCTCGGCGCTTCAATGGGATTATGTGGTTCGGCGGCGTAAGCTACCATTGTTAGAGAGTGAAATTCGATGCGTTGTGGATTATTCGTCTGGTAGTTGTAAGCCTGCATATACTTAGTAGTTTATCTTTGTTTCACTTATACTCAAGTAACTTTTCTGGGACCTTTCTTCGATATCCAGTGGAGTTCCATTGTTCTTTTGTTATTTAATCTTTTGAGTAGTAAAATTACGCTTTGAATCTGAAGTAGTGAAAAGAGGCTATTTTTCCACCACTTTTCTGTAAAAGACGGATAGAAGTTTTTGTGTCAATCCTTTGATGATCCGTGTTTTCTATGAGAACAATTCTGGCACCTAGTGAACATTATTTAAGCTTTCAATTCATGGTGGTGTATTTCTTTGAAAATCTTTGAAATGTGCCATTTGCCATTCGACTTTGCTCTACAGATTGGTGGTTCTTGTGTAGAGCGAATTTTAGGTTCAAAACTTTGAGTAGGGGAGAGTTTTTCGAGAAATAGTGTTGTTTTTGTTGGAAAAGTATTTCTTTCTTCAAATGTGAATACATCTCACCTCTTAGTAGTAAAGTTTTTTTTCCCCTTTACCACCTATAGTCTGCTTGACCATTGCGTGACTCGAGTAAGAACATTTGAAGTATTCCTTTATCTCCATCATTGGCCGGAGTTTCTCAGTGAACACTACTCGTATGAGGTTAGCAGTGTAATATTTCTACTATATGTTTCGTTATTTTTACCGTTCTCAACAAGGAGACGGCCTTGGCTGCTTATGAGCCAAATCTTGCATGGCTATAACTTTATCCGGCCTTTATGGTGAGTGTGTCAAACTTTTCAGTTCGGAATCACAGTTTTACATTTGAAAACATTTTCCAATTGCGACGAGACAGTAGCCCATTGAAAGATATTCAACTTTTATTCAAGCACCAGCTCGTTAGATGTTTCAGTTACCGAAAAATTATCGCTAGTCATCGAAAAAGTCGTGCACCGGTCAAAGTATTAATCCTAAACTCCATTCACTTTATTCACATTTCCTCTATGGTTCCCTACCTTTTTCTCTTCTTTTAGGCTCTTGTTTCTGCTTTGGTTCCTTTCAGCCACACAATTGTTCCAGTTTTCTAAATATCCGTTCCATCTTTTCCATCTTCCTATAAAGTGTTTTTCTATCCATCTCTTCATTGTCAATTGTCAACCCGTTTATCGATGTTCATAGGGACATTAGATGCCAATGGAGGTTCAGTGGCTTTCATATGTATGTGTGTACATATATATGTATATGTATCTATGCGTACGTATATACATGTGTATATGCATATACATATACATGCGCATGCATATATGTATACATATACACGTGATTTCATATATATATATATATATATATATATATATATATGTATATGTGAAATCCCCTCAAACCGCGTCGTCGTGGCTGGG